CTTTTTCACACCACTGTATATATATATATATATATATATATATCTATATATTATATATATATCTATATATCTATATATTGTAGACAGCTGTTTTCCCTTAATAATAAAAACCTTCATTTAAAAACTGCATGTTGTGTTCACTTGTGTTATCTTTTACTAATATTTAAATTTGTTTGATGATCTGAAACATTAAAGTGTGTCAAACATGCAAAAAAATAAGAAATCAGGAAGGGGGCCAACACTTTTTCACACCACTGTATATATATATATATATATATATATATCTATATATCTATATATATCTATGGTGTAGACAGCATCACTGATTATAATGAGTTCTATAGTATTTTGTTGAGCCATGCCACTCGCGTCTGCTGTAGACACGGTGTAACATTGGTTTTGCTTTGTTTCACAGAACTAATCGTTGCCTGGGTTGTGTACATATGTGTGGGGCGGAAATATCTAAATAGGGGTGAGACCCTTTTGGGGTAGTGGCGTGTTTGTTTTGGTGATTTCAAATGTCAACATTGGCTACCAGAAATCGCTTACCCCACCTTTAATATGCCTTTGCTAAAAAAAGTGTTTTTATCTTTCAAAAATCTAAAAGAGTCCAACTTTCAAACTATTTATTTATTTATTTTGTTTGTTTGTTTTGTATACCATTACAATAATTATATGAATATATTATTATATTAATAAAAACTTTTTAACTAAGTTCTTTTAAAAATAACTCAAGTATGAGCACTTTCAAAGAATAGCTAACTGTTAACTGAGCTAACTGAGCCTGGTTTTTCCCAAGGATTTTTCTCCATTCTGTCACCGATGGAGTTTTGGTTCCTTGCCGCTGTCGCCTCTGGCTTGCTTAGTTGGGGACACTTCATTTCCAGCGATATCGTTGACATGATTGCAAAGATACTATTTAAACTGAGCTGGATGTTGACATCACTGAATTCAATGATGAACTGTCTTTAACTGAAAAATTAGTGTTTACTATTGTCATTTTGCATTATTGACACTATTTTCCTAATTAATGCTGTTCAGTTGCTTTGACACAATCTGTATTGTTAAAAGCGCTAAATAAATAAAGGTGACTTGACTTGACTTGACTTGTTTCTACAAGCAGCAGAGCATAAGCAGAACACGACTTAATATGGAGACAAGTGACACGCTAGTTTGTCGTTTTCACACGCCACGTTGAACATGAGAGCTACTACTTTAACCATCATATTTAAGCAGTAGCAATACATAAGATTTAAACACTTATATTAAAATTCAAATCACAATATCTGACCAAATCTTGCAGCCTTAAATCAGACGTTAGCTTTAGACCACCCACATAAGAACAGCAGTATAAAGAAACTCCAGACTCCAGGCTGACATCAGTTTGGCCAGCATTAGTCTCAGCTCAGGATGGACAGTTAGTACATTTCAACAAGACAAGCAAAGAACACCTCTGCAAGAACAGAGAAAAAGAAAGTGACAAGACGTGGGCTAAAAGAGCTTCTCTGTTGTTGAACAGCTGTAAAACCACAAAAGATCTTTCTAAGAGGATATGACTACCTTCTGAATAACCTCGAGACATATATATATATCCATTTTGAGATATATAGCAGTGAGAACTGCCTCTCAACAGCAACCAGTTTTGCTCTTTTTCCAATGTACCATATAGAGCCACAGAAGAGTCTTTCCAATGTTAACGGCTCTTTCTGCTATTGTTGATTAATAATTAAGGAAGTTCCGGTGACAAGTGACACGTTGGACCACAGACGTCAACCTGCTGTATACGAATGGAATTTACTTACAGTCATCTCTGCACATTAAACTGCAATGAAAGAAAGTATTTTAAAAGAAAAAATACACACTGTAGGAGAACGAGGGAAGACGGAGAACAGGTAATCACTGTTATTACGTGTGATCCTTCCGTCACTGATAAAGTGAGTAATAACTGTCCTTTTCTGAAACCATCCTCTATTATTTCTGAGGGAAAAAAACAAGTACGAGGAGCGAGAGAGAGAGAGGCAGTGAGTCAGAGAGGAAGTAAGGGCTCTAATATGTTGGGAAAGACAATTAAAACAACCAAGTCTGTTAATATTTCATATAAGACATTAAGTATCCCAGTTCCAAGCTGCTGCAACTGTTGTGTAATTCTATTACTGGATGAAGAATCCCCTGGTGCAATTCTCCAAGGCAAATTGAAGAGGTCGGTTTGAGGGAGAGATGTAATTACAATGGAGATTGCACACTCACAACAAGGACGCACAGAACGCAGACTATTGTGTCCTTTCTCAATTGCAATATGGTGTAAATTTGGACACTGCTTGTGAGATCATTGGGAATTTGTCTTGAAATTGTAATTACACCTAATTTGAACAATCAGAAAAACACTCACGTGACACGGCAGATGTGCTTTTGGGTCCTCATTAAGAAAACATGCAGTTTTAAGAGCCTGTAATGTTTTCTGTCATTGTTTTAATTTTAAATCTGAAAGTTTTATTTGTTTTTTGGGCAACATTAATCTTGAATACTTTTGGTGTTTTCTCGAAGCGATACAACCAAGTGTTGTACAACCAAGTTGTGTTCAACCAAGTCTCTGCCTTTCTCACACAGAACAACCTCCTCGACAGCAAC